TATTGTTTGTTGATGATTCTTTGTTGCTCTTAAAAGCTAATGAAAAATGCGCTAGCCATCTACAAAATATTCTTTCAATTTATGGGGTTTGCTCAGGGGCACATAATCAATAAGGACAAGTCCTCAAATCATGTTTAGGAAGAACCCAAGAAACAATGTAAAACAAAGCATGATGGCTAGTCTGAATATAAAGTCAGAGGCAAGAAATGAGAGATATCTTGGCTTACCTATTTATATATATGGGCAGGTCAAGATAAAAAACCTTTGCATACCTCACAGACCGTGTGTGGAAAAGGATCCAAGGGTGGATGGAGAAACTATCTTCGAAAACTAGGAAAGAAGTTCTAACTAAAGCTGTTGCACAAGGCATTCCCACATATGCAATGTCTTGCTTTGACCTGACAAAGACCTTATGTGATGATATTATTAGCACTATGATTTGCCAATACTGGTGGGCGCAACAATATGACGAGAAGAAAAGTGCATTGGCTATCATGGGAGACTCTCTCCCAAAGGAAAAGTCTGGGAGGGCTTGGCTATCGTGATTTGCACTTGTTTAATTTGGTTATGTTGGCTAGATAGGGTGGCGACTTCTGCAGGCACCAAACTCAATTTATGCTCAGGTTTTGCAAGCGAAGTACTTCCCAAGTTGGAACATTTTGGAGGCAAAGAAGCAACCAGGTATTTCCAATTCGTGGAGAAATATTTTGCATGGAATCAAAGCCCTTAAAGAGGGCAAATTTGGAGAGTTGGTAGTGGTGAGAACATAAATATTTGGCTTGATCCTTAGATTCCTACTAGAGTGTCGAGAAGACAATGAATAGCTTGAGACAGAAACATCATAATACGGGTATCTGAACTAAATGATCCAATCACTAGACGTTGGGACAACCAGGTTGTGAAAGATATTTTTTGGGAGGAGGATGTGCAACACATTTTGGCAATCCCTGTTCGACAAGACATGGATTATTTTTTTAGCATGGCACTATGACAACAGAGATATGTTCTTTGTAAAGTCAGGATATCACGTCCTGGAAGAAAATAAATCAAGACAATTGCAGCGGCAGCTGGGAGAGACGCCTATAGCAGGCGGTGCCAAATTCACTCTTGATTGGAATATTGGAATAGGATATGGAACTAAAAGTATCCCCCTCACAAACCCACCCACCCACACACACACACATGTATGGCGGGTTGCGCAAAATAGCCTTCCCCTGTGAACAAATATAAGTCGGAGAGGTATGGATATACATACAAGGTGTCCAGTTTGCTAGAGGTTTGATGTGGATGGAGGCCACTTATTTGTGAAGTATAAATTTGTTCTACAGTGTTGGCTGACCCTGAACATGGAAACACAAGAATCAAGGAGTCAAATGGGATCGATCAGCCATTCCAGTTGGTACCAGAATGGAAGATCATAATGGGCTTGATAAGCTTGGTACTTCATCTTCGTCTTCGTCTTCATCCCCCGTCCTGCAAGCGCTGATCACTGCAAAGTCTGCATTTGTGCTTGTCAGGTGCTGTGCCTGACGCGTACTAGACACCAAAGTGATGTAGACTCCGTAGTTCTCAGGTCTCAGGTGCTGTGAGTGTCAGCCACACTGCTGGGCAAGACAGCTCTCAGGTCTCAGGAGAAGTTGTTGCTTCGCTGGATTCAGACTTTGATTCTCAAGAGTACTCCGATTAAACTGCCCCCCCCCCCCCAATTGACTGCACGCCCGCCACCTGAAATGCAATACCTTGTGTATGAGCGCCCGCGGAGCTTATTGCCAAGCTCTGGTTGGTTGCTTTTCCCCGTGGGTCCCGCGCTGCATGTCCACTTTTCCGCACTGGAGCACCCCGTGCATGCAAGACTCACGGCTCCGCTCCCTCGGCTCCGTTTCGTCTGGCTCCCCAGCCTCGTCTCGGCTCGTTTCGTCTGGGCCGTGTTTCCTCCTATCCTCTCTCAAGTGGCGTTCCTCTCTCTCTCCGTGAGCTCCTCTCCGGCGCTGCTCCCCTCTCTCTGACGCTGCTCCTCTCTCTCCGGCACTGCTGCTGCTTGTGCTCCTCTCCCCGCCCCTCCCCCTCCTTCCTCTGTCTCCATGGGAAGTGCCACATTCTTGACCGGGGATTTCATTTCTAGGTTTTCAGATCCGGGATTTGTTCTTCATGAAGGTACCTTTTTTGATGGATTGATTTGCTCCTATTCCCGTTCGATTCGATAGTAATTGCATAGTTGGATAGTCAACGCCGATTTCAGATGGTTTCCTCATGTGTATGACTACATGTAGGTTCTAACGCTGACCAGATCACCCAACCTAGCTTTTGGTTATGTTTATTTGACCATCTGAAATGGCTAATGGAATACTGAGAAGTTTCTGTTATTGATAATGGAATACTGAGAAGTTTTTCTTTTGTGTGTGTGTGTTTAGAACTAGGCTAGGGCCTGGTTGTGATAGTTCTCAGTTTTTTGCACATGCTATAGTATTGCCAATTTACTTGCACTTCGTTTTACAGTTTTACACAAGCTTGTTAATGCTAACATATTCTATTGAAATTGATACCTTTATTTAGTCGCCATTAATTTTGAAACTTTTTGTAAATTTTGAAACTGAGGTAATTATCAAAATTAAATTAAATGAGGTGCAAGTAATTAATTATTTTCAAGGTAAAGATTTTTTTTTCTGAAATACAAGGTTCTTTCTCAATGTTGTCAGATTGCCCAGAAAGTTATTTTTGTTATGTCTTTACAATGTAAGTTGGTATTTGTTGTCTTTCATTTTCAAATGTTTATTTGTTGTAAGGCATGCCTTGAGTATATATTGACCACGAGGTGGTTGCAATTAGTATGAAGCTTTCCAGGTCACATTCATATTCGATTCGATAGAGTAGCTTTCTGTATGTTTCGATTCACTTTGCATCCTCTATAGGTTTCGATTCAATTCCTCTGTATGTACCTTTTAGGAATTGTTTTGGTCCTCTGATGTTTTTATCTATTCTAACCATTTAGCTGTGGTTTGTACCTCACCTGCATCTGGTTGTACCTTTTCAGTAAAGCATGCCTATTGTCAACACAATTCATTTTTGCTTGTGAATTTTCTAAACGCTCATGCAAATATATCTCTTTGCCCGTACTAATCCATCTTCGTTTTTATTCTTATTCACAGGACAAGCCCTGAACTTCCGCTGAATCCGGTGAGGGAGACTTCTTTGACAGTATCTTAAATTCAGTTTACAATCCTTCATTATTGACTTTTATTTCCTTTTTGTAAACCACGCATGTTAATATGTACTTCCTCTGTCCACAAAGGAATGCAATTCTCGCTTTTCGAGAAGTCAAACCGTTTGAACGTTGACTAAATTCTCGCTTTTCAAGTAATATTTTGAGAATTGTGACACATACTTCTACATTTATCTACTTGTACTGATATGTTGCAATGAAGCAGACAAATGTTTGATAGAGACTTCAATCAACTCTATACGTATAAGCATGAGGGTACTATGGAGAACTTTGTTGGTCATTTCAATGGTTTTTGTGGTATCACTGCTGATATACACTTGATATATTTATTTGAACGATATTGTGATTTGTTTGTGTTACAAATGTATACTTTGGTAACAAAATTGTTAGAAAATATTCTTGGTACAAGCTAAAAAGGTGGAGAGGAATGGACAATGTTCAATGCCTGCTCACATACGTTGCATCTGCATGTGTTTAATACGTTTTGTCAGCCAACCATTTGCCATCTGGTATATATTCATAGCTTCTAGTTGAGTTGACAGGTTAAGCAGGCAAATGAACTGGATAACATTCTTGCAAAGTTCCTTAGTTTTTTTGTCAATGAGGGCAGAGGCATTCGAAGTGTTTAGGAGAACCAGTTCAGGTATTGCAATTTCCAACTTAAACTGATTACATTGAGTAGTGGGTTTTATGCTCCAGTAGTTTAGCTTTCCTACGAAACATGAACTATCTCTAAAGCACATGGATACATCTTCGAAATGCTAGATTTTGGGACGGATGGAGTACTAGTTTTTTCTCTCACTGTCTTGCCGTATTTCCCACATAATGATCAGTTTTATCAGCATAACTGTTTATCCCTTTATTAGAAATCTAAATTGTTTACAGCTGAACCTATGCCTAAGTATGCCTTATGTTTCAGGGCCATGATATAAGTTTCCTAATAACAAACTACCATAGCGAGGACATGAATAAGCACAAGCTCATAGATTTTATGGCGCAATTTATGGAGGTAAGTTGACATGCATAAGCATAAGCATGGCCTTGGGTTTGTCCCTTTTACTCTGGTTGATATATGCAAACACTGTATGCTAGCACATACTTCCTCCATCCCAAATTATAAGATACTTTGGCTTTTTAAGATGCATATATTTTTCCATGCACTTACATACACACTATGTCTAGATACATAGTAAAAGCAATGTATCTAGAAAAATCAAAACGTCTTATAATTTGCTTACATGTACGTCAGGATATTGACAAGGAGATCCGCGAGCTGAAGCTGTGAGTAAACACTCGTGGCCCGTGGCCGGCTAAGTGGCGACTGAATTCTTGAAGCAGTTCATATGACTCGGAGCAGTAGTCAGTGTTGATTATCGCAGCCTGTGACTACGCTGTCATTTTGCAGCAGCTTAAGTTGTCTTTACTCAGATTTTTTGGTTGAGTATAAATGCCTTGTGAAAGATGCATTCGTGGCTCTGGACCACCTGATTAACAACTGACAATTGCAGTACCAGGCTGATATTTTTCACATGAGTAAATCTTGTATTTTTTTTCTTTTGCTTGAAAGGAGAGCTGATGTTGACTACATTGCTTTTTCTCTGGTCTGTTGGTGTTGTGGGATGGAACCATAACCACTGCAGTGTAATTAATAACGCAAGCATGCATATTTGCACTTCTTGGCAAGTATATCGTTTACATTAAAGGCTTAATAGCATGCAACATCAGTTCACCAATTTCGTCAAAAGCATTCTGCAAAAGTTGTATGTCCCTTTTCCCAATTCTATTCGCAATGGTACATTGCATTCCTTATTGATGACGGTGGATTGCCAATGTTGCCATCCATCTTCAGTAGCTGGTACATTAGGTTCATCCTTTGCAGTTGGGTGGCCTCCTGAAAATATTGAAAATGTTATCACTCATATTCACAATAACTATCTCAGACCATAGTTTTTTTTGATTTATTTGTCTCACCTTAGTCAACACCCTTGTCAAGACTTCCCCATCGAAGTATCTTGCATAGAAGATTGTATACAATCCAGTGTTGATGTTGTTATTATAAAAAATAACTATTATTAATTTGTCCAATACTTTTTTTCTATTTAATCTATAGTAGTAGTGTATTACCTGTTTGTTTCTCCCCCGATGACATCAATGTATTCAGTGTCCCAATTATCAATATTGTTGTTATTGCTATTTGTCAGATTTCTCCAGCACTCATTCATACAAGAATTGAGTAGCAAAATGTAGCCTTTGTGCTTATCCTCCAATACTGAATTTCCTAGTTTCATGTTTTTTGGATCTAGCACCACTACCTTCTTCCTCTTGAAATCCCATATATAAAGGTACCAATGCCACTCCACAAGTATTGGCGCCATGACCTGCAGTTATTTAAACTTGTTTAATATACGTATGAAAAAAATAAACTTTCCTATTTTTTCCACACATATCACACTGTTCAATCATCATGTTGTTGACTTTTTTAGTATGTGTACTTACAAGCCTGCAGTCTTCGACGTTGTATGATATGTGTTCACCCAATAACATGTCCTTAACTAGTAATGTCGGCTCGCCTCTAGCTTTCTTCAGTCCCCAAACCTGTTACTTGTCACCCGCCTTAATTAGTAAGTCCATCACGGATTACACTGAAATTTACAATACTACATTCTTACTCAAAACATTTAGAACATAAACCATATTACTGTATTATTTTATCTGATGCATAATACCATCTTTATTTTTCGTTGTTCTTACCGCAAAATCAGTCGGTAGGAAATGTCTCCACCTTTTTTCATCCCATCTTTCATAAAGTTTATTACCCATCTGTTAGTACAACCTAACCATTGCGTCCATAATATTAGGAACAAAGTCGTTTTTGCCTTGGAACACCCCTTGCATCACTACCCCTTCAATTTGTGTATTTTGTTTGGGAACATATGCATGTACCATACGCTGCAAGTATTAGCAATAATTAAGTTGCTCATCTAAAGATGAACTATTTTTTTTATTATTTCGTAATCACACAATACCTTGCTGTGTCTTCATCATTCATATGGCATAGTGCTATTTGTGACGCCAGTTGAGCTTCCAATGGCGCATCTGGGTGTGTCATCCCTATTGCAAACGGAGACACTCCGAATCTTGAATTTCTATTTATATACTGGATTACCACTTTTATGTCGTTGACAATTATACTATTAGCATCAGATTTTTCTGTGTCATCATCTGAGGAGATGTAACAGTTTGCAAGAATTAGTACCAGTAAATATAAGCTACTTCCTTAATCAGAAATTTTATTTCTTTTGAAATGTTATAGTATTCCACCTCGAAGGCATATAATTCCTTGTTCTACTGCTGGTGTTACTATGAGCAATGGCGTTGGGCAGTCCAGCTCTTCAGGAACAGTCTCATCGGTATGTTCGCATTCATCCTTCTCTGTTGCTACTTGTATGAATATAATTATAAATAATAGTCAATAGATAATTCTATCACGTGTATAATTTCTACTAAGCTAAATATTTGAGAGAACTGTTTACCATTTGTTGATAATCCCATCTCTTCTAATTTTTGTAGAACTCCACGTTTCAATCCACTGCTTATTGTTCTCTCAGCTGATGGCAGTTCGCTACCCAATGAAATTCCACCTGGAGATGTGAAGTTATTATCAGTACTTGTACTTTGTAATTCTTTCCAATATATATTTATGTATTAAAAGATCTGAATTTATTTTGTCTATAACATATTGCTGTAGACTATACCCTTACCTTTCATGCTTTGCTCGCCTAACCAACTTCCCCAGTAACTCTCTTTCAATGTTTCTCTGTCTATAATCTATTTCTGTCTCTCCTTCTGATAAGTTTTGACTACCAAGTTGTATACATTTAGTATACAAACCGTCATGTATATGACTGCTCTCAGATCCCTGGTCTCCTTGTTCCACTTTTTTTTGGATTTCGCCTTCATTTGGCTCAGCTGTTTTCCCTTTCATTACTATATTAGCTGTGCTTGTGTTTCCTTGATCTTTAAATCGTGAATTTGCAGAGGGTCTAACCATCTTAGAACATCCTTATGAATTCATAATAAAAACATTTAATCAGTTATCCTTTTATGTTTGCATTATTTCTACCTAGTTTTTTTTTTCTGCTATATGACTAATAGGAAAAATAGTTTTGTTTTATTGTACAAAGTTCATTGTTACCTTGTTGTTCATTTCCATCTTCATACATGATTCTGGAATATTCCAGCAGCGCCGAATGTGTATCATTAGTGATATTCTTAACTTTTATTGCCCAGTTGTCCAATATAAATTTCATTTCTTCTCTTTTGCTTGCACTGCATATATCATCTTTTGTCCTTGACTCCTGCATCAAATTACCAAAAATGTGATCTTGTTTATACAATTTGCAACTTTTACAACAATTAAAGTCTAATACTGTGGTTTTAGTGATTCATATACCTTTTCGTTTTCTGTTCTTTTGTTGTTCCTAAAAAACTTGTTCCGACTATAAATCACTTTGTCATCTTCAAGGAGCTGTTGGAAATGAGAAAACATTATTGCTGGTTATTGTAGCCAATAACATTGTTTAAAATAATTGTTGTTCAAGCTTGATATTTTCTTACCTCATGCCGACCATATTCTGCCATCAACGTTGCAGCCACATGTTGCCTATCCTCTTTCTCTAGTGTTTTCAGAAGGCGGTATGGAAAGTCTAGAAATCTGGGCAACATTTTTTTTATGGAGTCAAGTCCCCGAAGTCAATGCTGTCTATGTAGAAAACCTGCACCGACATAGGCAATAAATTATGAACTTTTCCAATCCATTTGGATATGTTGCTTTTTATTGTCACATGTTAAGTTACTTTCATCTTACCACAGAGAATAACAAGCACCCGTCTAATGTCACTATCTTGTTTCCAAATGATATTGATTGCTGAATTCTTCTTGATGACTGAATCAAACAACGCAGCACATATGCGCACCAATTAAATTCGCCAATGATTGATGGGTTAACTAGGTTGCTGTACATTTCTTGGTTGATCCTAGCTTTCCCTCCCCTTGGTCCCAAGAAATAAGCATCAGCACATAACACAAAAGCCACCTTGAATGCCTCTCTCTCTCTCTCTGATGCTCATTTTCCTTCCATAGTCAAGTGTTACTATATCTTCTACATTTTCCAACGTTATTTCATCTTCATTCTTCAACATCAATAATTTTTTTATTCTTGAGACGCCGATTTCAGAGATTTGTAAGCTACAGTTTACAGGTCTAGTTTTCCTAGGAATGCCAAGGACAAGCTCCACATCGTACTCATTAACTATCAGCTTCCTTCCCTTGCTAAATTCAATTTCTCCAGTCCTATGGTCCATTCTCCTCTGTACCCAGAAAGCAAGTTGTCTTGGGAATTTGGTTTGTGGTAACAATTTCAACAACATTCCAAACCCCATTGCTTTAACTATTTCCTGCTTTTCCAATCCCAGTCTTGTTAAGATAGAATTCAAATTTGATATGGAGAATGCAGTGCCTATTCTTTGTTCTGGAACCGAATTAGTAGTTTCTAACTTTCTCACCTCTGACAGGCAGTTTTCATCAGACACAGATTTCGCTTCAACCCTTTTCTGAAAGCTAGTACCTGTTCCTGTTATTGTATTGTGGAAATAGTACAAAATTCATCTATTTAGTTTTAACATTCACCTTACCAAATCTACTGTTTCTTAAAAGCAATAGATTGATTAGAGAACTGACCTCCAGATCTAGTTGCCATTTTACTGAAGCTTCCCGCACTGTTCCTCGGTGTTCTTCCTCCAGAGAAAATTTCGGTGCCTGCTTCTAAGTTTAATGAATTCCTCCGCTCCATGGATTTGGTTTTTCTAGATAGCTCGCCCTTTGCTTATTTTCGAGCTGGAAATGCAACTGAATGAAGCAGAGAAATAGTTAGGTATTCAGTCAAGATAGGGGACACCAATCTTGTGGATTTATGGTTGCTAACCTTTTTTCTCCCCGTCCGTCTGAATCATCTTCTTGGACACTGGCCACTGGTGTTCTCCCTTTCGGTAGGTCTATAGTTTTTGGAGGATGAGATAGGTGAACAGTGTATGGCAGCTGGTAGGTGTACTCCGCTGGAGTACTCCTTTGCTCGGCCCCTTCCTTTTTTCATTCGTACGTTAGGTGATGGTGTTGGGCCTTCGTTCAAAGGACCATTAGTTGAACAGTAGAGAATTCCTTTTCTCCCTATCATTTATTTCTTTTGCTTCAATTTAATTTTTTGTCTGCGGCTGTATTTTTTTTTGCTAACTCAAATTTTAGTTGGGGTTTGTCTCAGTTATCCCTTTTTTCGTTGTTTGGTTGCCGCAACACTATTTTTTTGTTTCATCTTTTGTATCAACCATTTTGGTTAGCTATTTTTTTCAACCTGTGCATATAGTTTCTTTTTAAAATCATAGTATTACCATGCTTATCTAATTTATGTTTCTTAGTAGTTTGTCATGAAAGTTGTATTTATTTTATTTACTTTATTTTTGTCCTATCTTTTTTTTTTTGCTTTCCTTTTTAACTTCATTTTTAATTTTAGCCGCACATGTGCCATTTTTTGCTTGCTTTTGTTGAAAATTACGTTCTTTTATGATTTATGATTTATTCCAGACTACCATTTTTAGTATTCTTTCTTTTATTATTTTTATTTGTATGGATTGTAGTTTATATGCATCATAGCCATGGATTGTAGTATGATGTTTAACTATTTTATATTTGATTTTAATCTCTCACTGTTTTATTATGATTTTCTACCGTATCAAATAAGAAAATTTTCTTTTTCACCAAAAGCTCAAAAATGCAATGCTCTTAAACTGAACTTACAAAAGCATACATGTCATTTTTGACACAGATGAAGTGCAGCACTAACTAAACCGATGCATCTTCCCTATGTAGGAAGTTTTCTGTTCTTGTAAGCAAGAACTTCTTTTTGAGGGCTACTTGGTAACTATTACAAAAGTTTTAATCTCCAACTACAATCACAGTCGCTGTAGTTGGATTCCTACAGTCGAGCATGCATTGAGCGCCCATACGCGTATGTGCGTCGTCGCTTCATGTTGGAAGTCATCTCGGTGTAATCTTCTTGGTCTATTGGGAGTTGATTGGTCGACTCAGTGTCACTGTTCCGCTGATTCAGCTGTTGTTGGTTGCTCTCATCCGCATCCCCTGTTTCAGCCAGATCGTCAGTGTCTCCTAGTCCCTCGAGTTGTTCTTCATCCTGCACATAGACCTGTTTCGAACGGATCATCAAATTTCATGTATACAGATTTGTTGGGGATGTCAAAACTGAATTCAATGCTGTGGAGCACACCTTGTTCGCCGTATGCTGTGCAGGTGGAATATCATTCATTGCTTCCTGATCCATGCTCTATTCCATCTCATCCTGCAATAAATGTGTTCCTCAATCCTGTCTGCATCTGTGAATCTTTACTCTTCTGATTCATTGTTATGTAACAGATCAAAGTAAACTTACCTGGTTTGTTCCCGTAGCTTTTGCAGATTCTGTAACCTTGCCTTGATTGGTTTCATCGCTGAGTTCATCACTCGACGACAAGCCAGCTTCATCTTCAGCCAAGTACCCCGTCGTGCGATCTGAATCTTGGCGATAGTTTCCATTGCAGGCGCTGAAAATCACCTCTGCTTCTCCTTCTCTGTCATCGACTGCCGATGAGATGGCTGACTCAATGTTTTTGGATGAGGTGATGTAGTCAGACATTTTGGTTTCTTCTCGTGTGGAATAGCAGGGCTTTTCCAAGCTTATGCTAGTAGTTCTGGACACAATGCCTTCCAAGGTCGACCTGCGTCCTCAGAAATAGTGCTGTTGTTTGTGTAGTTGCCTTACTTTCCCTCCCAAACCTGAAATTCAAAATTTGGACGCACGGTACCAAATGCAGTGTTCCATTTTCAATCTCATTTGTACAGGCTATGCATGTCCCTAACCCTCACCCACTTCATGATGGCCATGTACTTTGTAGGAATGGATGGATGGGAGACGCGTCACTACCTTCATTCCTACTGTAGTAGGTGTGCTAGTACTGTAGAACTCACTCCTATGAAGTCTACCACTGGTACCAAATCTCAGCTAGATTTACAACGTATTAGAGTGCTTTTTATTGTATTCTCATTTGACAATACTTGCTATACGTATGGTGTTCTTCTATTTGCTTTTCTGACAAACTAAATTCCTATCTCCAATTTATTTTCACTATTCAGTCTCGTCTATTTCGTTTATGTAACTTATAATTGTTACCGCATCTTTCTACTAAAACCTTTGATCTGGTACCCCTGGCTAATCAATTGTAATGAGATATTGATTCATCATAGTTTGTTTTGGAATCAAATTATTACAATACAAATTATGCAGAACACTCTGGTTTCATGAGTTGATCTTGCACAGTAGTAGTTACATATTCCTTATCAGTCACCTAGTTGCCATGTTTGCTAGTACTTGATTCGAGCTCTCCACCATCAGTTGATGTACTATCCTCTTCGCTGTATGTGACATTCTGCTTCTTAGCTGCACGTTGTATGCAAAGTTATTTTGATATACAGTTATGTAATTGACATATTGCTATGTTTTTTACCTATCCCTTTCCTTTTCGCAGCGTGCTTTGTTCTTCCTTGTCTCTTCGGTTGTCCATCACTATGAATCCTTCGGTTGTCCATCCACTTCAACACCTATATATTATTTTTATGTTAACGAAGCTAACAGTTTTCTTTCAGTTTAATATTATTTCAGTTAGGTTTTAGGCAAACTATGAAATTAGTTATACCTTTCTCATGCGCCTTGCTGGACATTTTGAAATAATCATTTCTTACTTCTGGATGACCTTCCGCTCCCTGACTTTTTTCGCTCCCACCCGCACCCATGAACAATCTTTTGGCTATAGCTGCAAGAAGATTCAATCTTATTACATTTCCTGCACAAGTAATCATGCTATTTTTATTTTCAGATAGTTGCTACCTTTTGGGATCCTGTTTGCAGCTCTCTTTGTCCCACGACGCTGGTTCAGGCCTCCAGCATTTAAATTTATTCCTGTTTGCACACCCACATTGTTTCTGAAGTGTAAGTTTTAATAGTTTTACAATTTCAGAATCAGTATTACATATACTAAACGGCAATCATCTTGTTCGAATTGCCTATTATTGATCTTCTATACACTATAACCGGTCCATATGAACATTAATATTTTTCTTAGTCCTTTTCTTTGTTCTTAAGATTAAATTTAATCCAGCAGGTAGTTATGTACTTTTCTAATGCATCACTAGGAAATCAAAATTTTAAGTATATGTTTCCTCAGAATATACTACCTGTTGGAACTGCATTGTCCTTTCCTCCCTCTTGTTCATCAAAATCATCATGCCCTGCACAAATGATGTGGTCAATAGAACCATCAGTTTTTATAATTTTTCATGTACATTAAAATCCAGAAATTAAGAATAATACGTTGTTTTACCTGTTAGGTCGATAATTTCAGGATGTAATCCTTCCTTCCTGCTATTTTTAGCTTTATCCTTTGACAATTTATCTGTTATTTTTGCCACAAGTGTGATTAGGATTGAACATATCATTTTCAGGATTCTTTGTTTCATCTAATTTCTGTCTGTGTGTACTTCACCTGGTTCTCCTGCATATCCTTCAGTTCCTTTTGATGTTTTCTATCTTGTTCGCTCTCTCACTGAACTCTTTAAGTTGTCTACAGAAGAAATATGATCCAAAATAGAATCTTAGGATAGCAGACTTTAAATTTATAGTTAGAGACATCATATATGTGTCAATGATTAAAATTTTACTTTGATGCTGATTACCTTTTGAACATTGCTCAGTTGTATCATTTTCTTTATCTTTATCTCTGCTCAATTTTGATGACATCCTTTTCAAAACATATGCTTTCACTTCATCACAGTGCTTGTCACTAGAACTGCATAGTTTATCTGCGAAGTCCATTGCGGAGTTCCTGATTCTTCTTTTGTGATCTGAGTTTTGCTGGTCTATATACTCAATTACCTTCAATATTATCCCGAAATGTATTAAAAAATGACAAGCATTCTTTCATTATGTGGAATAAATATATGTTCTTATACACTATTTTACATACCCAGTCAATGTCGAGTTTTGATGTTGTGGCTTCTTTTTTTTGCTATTTTGTTTGGTGATATTCTGAAATAAAAGCCCACGTGTATAACAGCTCTCTGAGTCAGGTATTATCTGTGAACAAACAAACATCTATGTAAACAACCATCTGCAAAAATATTATTTTTGATACATTATGGTCACGATGTTTCTGTTTCTAACCTCAAATCTTCCATATGGTTGTCCATCTCCCTGGCCACTCCTAAATTTGTCCATTATGATTAATTTCTTCAGTTTTTCATATCCAAAGTCACCTACTCTTGGCACTTTGCATTCAGTTGTAATACAATGACTGATCTTGATATTGTCCAAGTACACAATATGAAAATAGGCAATTGTCAGAAATAGAAAAATGTTTCATTGCAGGTAAAGTAACTATTATGTTTTTCTAGTATATTGTTGTACCTGAAGGAATAACAAATAGCCATCCAAGCAAACTGATGATTTCCCAGCTTGCATGTCAGCCTTAATCTTGGAACTAGTTTCTTTGAGTGTCTTCAATACATAGGATGACCAGTTCAGGTTCAATATACGTTTTGGTTCAGTGATTGAGTCAAATATATCTGTGTTGATTTTTGGTGGCCTCCCCCTTGGTGCTATGAAATAGCTAATTGCATATATCACCATAGCTATCATGTATGCATCTTGAAGTGCTTCATCCTTATCATTGGATATATCCCTCTGAAGAACCTTTTTAATGCTGTCAAGATCAAGTTCATCATTCGCATCTAATACCAGTTTTTTCCTTATAATATTCTTGTTCCGGTCCAGTTTTGAAGGGTCATGTACAGCCAACTCCTCACCAGTCCATGGTAAACCCATAACAAAATTAACATCTGCATCTTTTATTGGAATGCTTCCACGATCTCCTAGCTGAAGAGTTCCAGTAGTAGAGTCTAAGTTCGTCAGCAACCAAAAAGAGAACTGTAGTTTGAATGGCCTCTCAGAATCCCCCTCTCCTTTAGGTAGTAGCAAAAGTCCATCAAACCTCATTTTCCTTATAATTCTCTCTTTTTCCTCAGTCAAGTTAGAAAGGATTTCTACTAAAGGGTTTATTCTGAACCCACTATGAACCTATAAAAAGTACCAAAAATGCAAAATTAGCTTTTCAGTTCTAACAAATTATGCACATAGCATTCTTTCATTGTCATTGAAACAGATATATTCTTATTCTGGCCTACACGGCTTTATTGTTTTTGTTCACACCCACACTGTCTTTTGTTTTATCCATAGAATTTATTCATTTATTTATCTGTTGTTTATGTGTTCTGCTGTTAATCGTTTAGCAAACTAATCCAAAGTTGACTCGTTTAGATCTAGGACATAGCACTCTGAATCTTCTAAGACATTATGTTTGTATGCAATTTGAGACCTACATCTAGTTTAGATGTAATCTCATCTAGAATGAAGACCGCTGCTTAAATCAGAAACATTTAGGAAGCTAGCAATGATTGTTTTTCTTATTTACCTTCGCAGTTCTTTGCTGCGCTTCTTCTCTTGGTCCCCTCGCATCAGCTGAACCCCTAGATCCACTGCTCGTCTGTTGAGCATCCATCCCCCGCCTATCCCCATCTCCTCGAGTTATTGGCATCCTGAATATGAACTATTCACTCATTATTTTCTGCACCCTTTTTGCGTAGTAATGTAGAGAAACATTAGGCATTCTGTTCACTGACCTGAGAGAACGATTCGTAGACGGTCTCCTTCTTCCTAGAGATGTTCAGTGTGGATGTGCCTCCTGGTTTGTTCTTGTGCTGACAGTTTTTTAGCCGCAACTGTTGAATAGAGAGTTTGGAATGAAGAACTTTGTCGACTGTAGGTCCATGGCTCCGTTCTATTTGATTTCTTTAATTTCTCTCGCTAGATTCTCTCCTACCCCTACTCCCCACCTTCCGTGACAGAAAGGACATGAGGTCCTGTCCTATCTCTTTTTTTCTTCAAGTAGTACTCGGTTGATTCACGATCTTTATTTTTTTTCTGCCTACTGATCAATGACAGCTCAATGGTTACCGGTTTTAGCCCATACATTCATTAGTAAATTAACTCATAGTAACGGAGCATTATATACATTTAATTATATATAATGCTCCGTGTTCCATTTGCTTTGTTCAATGTACCAACTTTAAATTAATTATACTATGTACTCTATTTAAAACCCTTTTACAATTTCAATTTTTTTAGTACATCCACATGCAAAAATTGTTTTGTTATTAGTTTTATCATCACCTTGTTATTGTAGTTTCATATCATTTACCACTTCTATGTTCTTTTTTTTTTAAATTAGTTGTGCTGTGTCAGTTTCTGTCAGTACGTTTTATCTATATACGTGCATATTTGTGTATGTTGTTATGTATTTATGAAATGCCTCCAATACATGAATTTTGTACATGTTATTTTGTAGAATTTCCTGATCAATTTAATATGTATATTTTATTCTTAGGATGATTTTTATTTTAAAAAGAAGTTATTTTGTATTATTCATTTTTAAATTGAGTTGTGGAAATTAATTCGTGTTGGTCCTATCAGATGAACTAGTTGCAGTTATACGCTTTGTGGTAGAGGTGGCACTTGGGCCCCGCCAAGCTGCCATGGCACGGCCCTCACGTGCTCCGTCCAACTCGTTGGTCGTGCCCTCTAGGCACGTGATGCACGTCGTGCCATGTATTTCGTAATATTTATTTTTTAATTGAGTTGATGAATTTCATTCTTCTTTGCCCTATCCGATGAACTAGGTGCAGTTTTCTGTTTTGTTGTAGAGTTAGGACTTGGGCCACGCCTGGACGCCATGTCACGGCCCTCAACGTGCTTCGTGCAACTTTTAGCCATGGCCTTTAGGCATGTGATGCACGTCGTGCCTTGCTGATAGGGCACGCTAAATCATTTCTTCAGCCTAAGCACGGCGTGTGGCACGACGGCACACCTTCGGGTCGTCTCGGAACCAGCCTAACAAAAATTTTAATCATTTGCATAATCTTATTCAATAACTAGATGTGAGATAGTATAATAAATGCTTGAATATCTCATTTAGTAGTTGTAGTATTGTCTACGTGCCATTTTTGTGCCGTGCCGGAGCAAGCACGGCCCAAAATGCGTGCCCTTCATGTAGCCCGGTCTGCCGACGTCCTACGTTAAATGTATATAACATAATGTACCATCTTTACATTAATTATACAGTGTACTATATTTGAAACCTTTTTATATATCCAAAAAAACTTGAGCACATCCATATTACAAAAGGGTTTTGTTATTAGTTTTGTTTTATAGTATGTTTGTGAATCCATCTTGTTCTTGTACTTTTCATATTATTTTCCCACTTCTATGTTCTTAAACTATTTGCGTTGTGTCAATTTACATATCAAAAGGTACGTTGTCTTTATGTTCGTGGATATGGTGTGTATGTTGTCATATATTTATAAAACCCCACTAATATTTGAATTTTGTTTATGTTACTTTGTTGATTTTTCTAATCCAAATATTCTATACATTTTATTCTTATAATGATCTTTAGTTTAAGAAGAAGTTATTTCATACTATTTATTTTTAATTGATTCGTTGAATTTATTTTGTGTTGGCCCTATCACATGAACTAGTAGCAGTTTTCGGTTTGTGGTATTGGCTGGACTTGGGCCCGTCCAGTCTCCCACGGCACAATCTTCATGGGCTTCGTGCAGCTTTTGTTCGTGACCTCTATGCACGGGATGCATGTTGGGACATGCCGATATGGCACGTTAATTCTTTTCTACATCCCAAGCGGCGATGTGGCACGGCGAGTGGCACGTTGGCATTCGTTGGGGTCGTGTCGGCTAAACCCTGGCCTCAAACTGTATCTGTTAGTTTTCAGTCTCTCGTGATATGAAATGTGTATATATATTGTTTGTACTATTGTAACGAAAAATTTGATTATTTTCATAATATATTCAAAAATTAAACGATACATAGTATAGTAAAATGGTCGAAAATCTCATTGAGTAGCTGTAGAAGTTTCTACGTGCCATTTTCTTGCTGTGCCGGCGTAAGCACGGACCAAGTTTCATAATCTTTTTACTTTTGTTTTTAGTAATTGTTTAATTCATTTTATTGTATAGTATTTTGTAGCCACCTCTTCACAAGCACTGTTTTATAAGTCGAAAATTTCAATTTTTGCCATCCTTTTTTTTGTTAGTAACTTCTTTTCACTGCTGGCATTTATTGTTCAACTTCATAGCATCTACCCGTTGGCAGGTTCTTTTAAGTATGGTTGAGTGCTACTCTATTCTGTTCCCATCCTTTTCTGATAGGAGCCATCATCCCTTGCTTCCTTCTTGTTCCAATGGCTCAGCCCCCAACTCTTCCTTCTCACAAGACGATGCGTGAATCGCCCATTTCTCCATTGTGCTTGCGCCGCTCCTTCTGTTGTCCGTAGTGCTGGGACGCCTCGCAACCGTTGCCGCCGTTTCATCAAGTGTTATAAGGGGGCAAGTCATCCATACTCTGCCCTTCAATTTTGTTTTCGCTAGATCTCATCTTGGTTTTCTATGCATCCCCCCCACAGGACATCGACACTGCTTGCGCTATTTGGATTTGGGAGGATGTCTATCAGAGTTAATCAAATTGTTCAGTACTATGAGCACATTTTAGGTCTTGACAGAGCTGAGGTTCAAGAGAAGGAGCGTGCCATTGCTGAAGGCATTAAGGCGCTTGCGGCTGTGAGAGCATCGTCATTTCGTCGTCCTGATTTTGCCGTGGCTCTTGGTTAGCTGATAGGCCATACCGCTACGTAGCTTGCTCCACTTTCGTTATTGACTTGACATAGCACTAGCCCTGAACTATAGGCCAACTTTTTGCAGACGACGTGCATGTACATGCAGCTGTACCAAATTATTTGTACTACTAGTATATAAATTGTGCTACAAAAGGAACCGCTGTATCCCCATCCATAAGACGTACAATATGGGTTTTTACACTACTCACCCTTCTTTTTAGTTTTTCATGTATTCAAACCACTAGATACGTTGACAATAGCCTGATGTTTTATTGATTAATCTTTTTATGTCCGTCGTTAGGACCATTTTTGCAGCTAATTTCTTAACTACTTTATTTCATACTTATCTCTTCTAATAGTTCAATATACGTTGGAACGTTACTCCGTATATTTCTTTGGTCGTCATGCTGTTCATTGTTCACCGTACCTAACCTTTTTTTTATTTACTAGTTCGAAATTGTTAGAGTACATGGTACTATTCATTTCCTGAATTTTATATTCCGCCGTTGTTACACACATCTTTTAGTACTGTTTTAGAGTTGGCCACGGACCCAGCCTCCCCATGGACCTAGCCTCCCCACTTTGATTAGTATGACAAATAGCGAAATGTAACTTGCTCTAGCTCTACAAGGGTTGCAAGCCACCTATCCAACAATTCTAGTTGCTATGATCACTAGACACACAATTTGCTATGTCACTACTCACTAAGAGCTCTCACACTTGCTACACTAAAGAGCTCCACTAGATAAACTTAAAACAATAAAGCAAGCTCTCAATTCTAATTACACTAAAGAGCTTGCTACAACTAGTTTGCAAAAATATAAATGAGTAAGTTGGGTGATTATACCACTGTGTAGAGGAGTGAACCAATCACAAGATGAATACTAAATCAATCACCGGGAGAATACCAAAGGGCAAGAGACAACCAATTTTTCTCCCGAGGTTCACGTGCTTGCCGGTACGCTACTTCCCGTTGTGTCGACCAACACTTGGTGATTTGGCGGCTAAGAGGTGTTACATGAACCTCGTCCACACAATTGGACACCGCAAGAACCTACCCACAAGTGAGGTAACTGTCACACCCAATTTTAAGGATAAAATTGAATGCACAAAACTCGTGTGTGCCCAGGGATCAATCACACACACAAGATGACAAATTACAAAAGAGTATCATCACAGTGTATCTTACATCACGATAATAACATAACTTAGTCTTATACATCACAGCGGAAAATGAAAGATAACTCTCTCTTGTGGAACACCATCACAGGGAAGGTCAACTGGTTGACCACAAGCCTAATAATCCTCAGGAAACTCCTCATACACGTTGTCATCTGTTACCCATCCGGGATTTTTATCCAAATATAGAAAGTAAACAAGCGTAAGTACATCCCGTACTCAATAAGATAACATGGGGTTCATGAGGCTCAAAAAGGATGACACTGATTTACTGCTGTTAGCATTTTTAGTATGTCAAGATTTTATCATCAGTGATTGTCAAGTTATGCTTAAGCTCCCATTTAAACCCACATGATCATATATCCAATCCAATTGAGTCATGTAACATCATCATAATATCATCATAATCATCTCGTATAAACAACATTATAAGTAGCCATCTATTCTGTGAGTTTTCCGGGCCGCTCGTGACCGTGAGCACGGCTGTTATAACAGTTTGTTACCCTCTGCAGAGGTGGTGCACATTCACCGCGAGTCGTGATCCCCATATGCCCGGGTTAATTACTTCCATATCACTGCCAAGGTGAGCGAGCAGGGTACACTATGAAGCCATTTTATAGGTTTCTCTAACAAGT